CCATGTATTATCTGACAACCCATGCCCAGGTCATATTACCTTTGTACACCCACTGCACCTTAATTTTTTCTTGTAAGTTTCTCTAGGGATTTACTGGCTTTCTCCAAAGTATAAAGTCTTCAAGCCCAGGCTTTGTGCTTCTTAGTGGTCTTGGGACTAAAAATCCAACCAAAGAAAATCACAAGCATCATGACCCCCACTCCACACCCCCCAAAAATCCCTTGAAAACCTTTTTAAAAGCCTTGCTTACAATACTAGGCATGTTTACAAAACAGTTATATTTTCAGCAGCAGACTCAGAAAAAAAGAAATTTTCTGAAGGTAGAATATAAAGTGATATTATAAAGGGAAAATGAATTCTCAGGAAAAAGAGTTACACTGCCTTGAAGTACCTTTGAATTGTATTTAATTGAAAGGAAGCTCAGGTCAGGTACTTCAACCTTCTTATTTTATAAATAAGAAAATAAAAGACCATGAATGGTAAAATGTCTTACTAAATATTGTATAAGGGCGCCAGTTTTAATTCCTCTCATTCTCTCACCACTTACTCCAGGTGATGTAAGGAGCACAACTCACTGAACTGAGGAAGGTCCTCCTCTTTCTTTATGTACAGTATCAGAGGACAAATTGCTCATAATGTTGTCATGACTGACACAAGACAAATGCATTCCTAACATTCCAAGTTAGATTCTGCATTGATTTATCCACAGGAAGAGAACTGTATTCAGAACTATAGGTATTTTTAATATATTTTATTAACTATTAATATAATTTTATAATTCTCTGATATAAGCATAGCTCTATAATTCAGTTATTTTATGTGTTAAATTTGGTAGGCTATCTGCAAATATACCAATAAGCATACTGCTTCTAAGTTCTAAACCATTTTGCCATTTTATAATTGATATAATCAATCCCATCTTACATTAGGAGCTACCAACATATGGAGTCAAGATTATAAATCAAATGTGATAAACTTAAAACACAAGAGTCTTCATTTTATAAAAGGGATCATTTATTTTTAAAGTTAGGTATTCAGGCACATTTACACAGGATATAATTTACATACAAATTTTATTAGTATTTCAAGGAAGTTGAAGTAAAAAGGTCAAACATTTCTCTACACTCATCTAACATAGTAAAAACAAAACCAAAAAACTTTTAATGTACATATACAGTAAGTGAGCTTTAAGAAGTAAGAAAATTATTTAATAAATTAGCTTGACAATATATAGAATCTACTGCTAGATTTATATACCCATTATATCTGAGTGGGTAAATGCAGTTTAAAGAACCTTCAAGTATATTTTTTTCTTCTGAGATAAAGCAGTATTTCATGAATCAAGATTTGCTTGATAAATAAATCTCTTTTTAAAAATGTTTATGTAGTATATTAAGTCCATAGCTTGTCTACACTCATTCACTTATTTGTCCAACAACAATAAATAATGAGCTCCTACTATTTACTAAATACTATACTAGCTAGCAACTCTGAATTTATGACTGTAGCATCAGGTCAGTCCCTGACCTCAACCAGCTTAGAAAATCCTAGAGTTAAGTGTTATTTACCCAAGTGATATTGACAGTTGAATTTTAGTTGGTCATTTAGGAACACTTTTAAAATGTTTTCAAATTAATACTCAAAAAAGAAACTACAATAGTAACTAAAAAAACATTTGAATAGTCTTATTTATATGAAGTTTCCCTACCAAGTAACTAAAAGCACTGTTTTGGTAAAAGTTCTAGTATTAATATCTTAGCAGTAGCTTCTGCTATGGGAAAATAACTGAGTTAATCCTCCAATAAGGAAATCCAAGGCTCCTATCTACTGTGATACCGGAAATCAAGCACTTGGAAATGAAATCTTAAACTTTTACAAAAATAAAGCAAAATGTATTAACAGCATCATACAGTATTAATAGACTGACTCTGCAAATATGATTACACAGAAACCTGAATAATGAAGACACTCCATATTACACTATGCAAATCAAAACTATGAATTCTGGATATGGTCATCTAGAAATTTTTCAATTAAAAAGGTTGTCATGTTTTCTGGAGATTTCATTTTTCACAAACTTATTTCAATATTTAATGTTTATTACAAAGTTTAGCTTTCTTCAATATTAATTATATGTTTAATTATAACAACATACAGATACTAGCTATCTCACCTGTTAAATTTGCAATTAGAAACTCGTAAATGAATGAGAAACAGTTTTCAGTTGAGAGCTGCAAGGTTCCAAAGCAAGTCAATGTAAATCAACCATTTTAACATCCTATGGGCAATCCTAATGAAATTGTGCTTTACACTGAAATGTTTTCATCATTCATCAGCTAAAAATATTAAATTTTCTTTAAAAATATCATGAAAAACTAATGAATTTATGCACATTATTTAGTGAAATGGGCATTATCTCCATTTGCATTTAAGGAAATCAAGGCACAAAAGGTATCCATTTTGGAAATTGCAAGGTCATTTCCTAAGCAAGCAACTGATCCTACACCATCAAGTTATATTATACGTGCGCCACTTCCAAGTGCCATAAAACAATTACTGTGCCTTAAAACAACTGCCTCTGCAATGCCTATGTGCTATTTCGTTTCATCAAGAGGGTTAGGCAGTAAGCTTAAACAAGAAAAGCTGAAAAGGAAGGATCACAAAAAGAAAAAGTTATTTTTGATAATGAACTACTTATTTTTAAATGAGATGTTGAGCTTTAAACATTAGCAATCAAACAACCAACAATTCTTTCTTCCATTTTCAAAAAAATATTTTCGTCTCTTAGGTTCATCATGCAAAATTGAAGCCTATCTATCCTTGTAGACAAAAGTTAGAAATATGAGGGGGAAAAATCTGTAACAATGATGTTGCAAAGGTAAGTGAACAAAAATTAAAATTTAGATAAATTAGGGAACGTTCATGAAGGCAGTTAAAACCCCATTTTTAAACATTAAGTGTATCTTTCGTTCAATTGAAGGTTATGATTAGCAATCAAATACTGTTACCGAAATATAAATACAAAACTTTTCCAATTCAAAACTTAAGACATATTATATCAAATACTTTATTCAAATTTGACATAAATAAAAATGTTTTTCCTAACAGAAACTTACAGCATAAGGGGAAAACTATTTCTGGGAGCTCAAAGACTGAGATTGGATTTGTCATTATGACACAGTACTATCAGCAATTTAAAAAAAATGAAAGATCAAACAAACTAAATTAAGAACTTTAAACGGGTTAAATAACCAATTACATCAACTGCCGGATAAAAATAAGATTTAGGTAATACCTGAGTCTAACACCAAAGGGGGAAAAAAAACCCCACGCACACCTTTATAGAAAAGGACCGGCAAAGTCCTGGTAAAGTAGCTAGTCTAGTTGGGGATTAGTTAGTTAATCGGCTATAAAATAGGTGGTGAATGTTCGAGTCAGATGGGCTTTCTTTTCATCTTTATTCCAGTTCATCATCCTCAAGTGCAAGGGAAGGCGTCGGAGTACCGAAGCTAGGGGGCATGCTGTAGCCAGGGGAAAAGAAAAATGGGAAAGGTGCAATGGATGCTGCAGAGTTGAATAATTATCTGGGTGGCACAATGGGCGAGTCCTGCCGAATCCGAGCTGAGTGAGCGGCTCCCTCACTATACCCGAGGCAGCCCCCCAAGTACAGGCATTCGAGGCGATCGCCACGCTTCGCCACCTCTTCAGACGAAGAAAGGGATTCCCGCACTCGCTCTAACCGTTATGTCTTTAGACACAGACTCTCGGCGCCAGCACGCACATGAGCCCGCTCGCTCCCCCGAGCCTCAGGCACGTCGCGCGAGCTGGGGCTCCCGGCCACCCGGCGCTGCAGCCCGCCCCCGGGCGCCGAGGCCCGTGGCGGTCCGCTGGGGCGCCCGGCGGTGGCACTTCAGGTGAGACCCGCAGTCTCAGCCCGAAGCATGCTCGCGGGGGTCCCCGCCACCGAGACCAGGCGCGCCGCCGGCCGCCGCGTCCCTCGGCACCCCGTCCGGACCGTGGGTGGGAGGCTGCAGCTCCGGCAAGCTGCGAATGGGGGTGGGGGCTGTCGCGGGGGAGGCGCACCCATCCCCGTAACCTTTCCCGGGTTGGAGCTCCGCACGCCACCTCTCTCGGTTCTGGGCAGGGAGGAGGAGTTCACTCGCAGCACCCTTTCTCCCCCGCCCCCCAAAGCCAATTCCTGAGAGACTCGCGCTCACCGTGAAATCTTGGGGGGCTCTTGCCTTACCCCTTCTTCATGCTTCGGCGGCGGCCGCCGGTCCCCCTGGGCTCCCGGGACTACACCTAGAGCCTCCAGGAGCGTCGGGCTCCGGGTGGATCCCGCTGCGGCCAGCGGCCGAGCCACCTGGCCACGCGGATCGCCGCCCGCGGCGCCCGCCGGTCGCCGGACCCTCCGTGTGCTCGACGCGCGAGCGAACAACACCGCGAGCCGCCGCCGCCCCCAACCCGCCCCCTCCCCGCGCGCGACGCTCCACAACTGGGCTCCAGGACCCGATCCTGAATCAGGGGGGACCGCTGGACTCTCGCCCCCTAACCGCCCATCCTTCCCGCCAGGACCAGCTCCCCGACAGTCAAGGTCTTCCCACTTCACATTCCCTTTCCTCCCCAGCTCCCAGGGTGCAGGTGCAGCCGCGAAGGCAGACTCAGCCTCCGCCCACTCACCCAGCAGCGGACACGACTCTCTCTCTCACCCCTTTTCCTGAGGCTTTGTGGTATTGCCCAATCCTCAGTTTGGGGGGAAGGGGACGGCGAGAACCGAGCTCCGCCAGGGAAAGAGAGAAGACGATAGCCAATTGAATGAACCATCCTTTCAGGGGCGGGATCAGAGAGGCCTGCATGGCCTGGCCCGCCCCCTCGTCCAGACTACATTTCCCACCGTGCCCTGCGGCTCCCCGCCGCGCTGCACGCCGGGAGAGGAGAACCCGGCCGCCTCAAGGTATCCCGGTACTCGTAGTGTTTCCTCTAGTCAAGTAGGTCCTGGAGGTTGTAAGCGCTTCTAATTCTCTCTGTTTTCCTCTAGAAGTATTCCTAAATTCTCTATTCTTTTTAATTATTCTAATATAATTAATCGATCGTTTAAAACTGGTTAGTTAGTGCTGTGCAAGAAAGTAATGCGTTTCATGGCAATCTGGCAGGACCTAGAAGCCGCTGCTGCTTCCGCCCGGGCCTGGTCTCCTCCTAGGATCTGTTGCCGTCATGTCGGCTGCGATTGCAGCTCTGGCTGCTTCGTACGGTTCGGGTTCAGGCTCCGAATCGGACTCGGACAGTGAGAGCGGACGGTGTCCGCTGCCAGCCGCCGACTCCCTCATGCACTTGACTAAATCGCCGTCAGCCAAACCCTCTCTGGTCGTGGCGGTGGACTCGGCTCCCGAGGTGGCAGTTAAGGTAAGTGCTTTGCCCATGAAGTGGTCCGGCATTGTGAGTTTCTGCTCCAAAACCCGGCGGTGGCTTGTTGAGTCCTCGGGATATCGAGTCCTCAGGGCTGAGAGTTCAGTGCTAACACTTACTTAGATCTCTTCTCCTGTCCATTTGCGTCTTCCTCGGGACATTGGAAAACTGGAAGCTGGACACCACCCTCCACGGGTCCCCTCTAACCTCCCGCCGTCAGAAAGCAAGTGAGAAGAGGGGGTGAAAAAACATGGACTAGGATGTGGCATGCGTGGAGGAGGTGTAATTTGAGAGCATAAGTAAAGCTAGAATAGGACATCCCAAACTAGAGTCTGTGCCCACTCTTGGAGGATGCAGTGGCTTGACTTTGTTTTCTAAGTCAGAAGTAGATTCTGATTCTAGCTCACTCATGTGTGTGAACTTTGCAAGTTATACAACCGCCTCTGTTTCCTTCCCTGTGCAATTAGAGAGAAAAGCACTGATCTGTACTAGGGGTTATGGTGAAGATTAAGTGAAAAGATACAAATAAGACTGATGGAACAGTGTCTGGTGTCTAGTAAAAAGTGCATTGAGTGTTAGCGCTAACATTCCTCGGTAATAGTGAGGAAAAGCTTTGGATTTTTTGGAAAGTGTGCATGATGCCAATTGAAAAGGGTGATAAAGGGAAAAATTGGGTTCTCGAGTTGGCTTCAGGATGGTTTATGAACACATGTTATCTTTCAGGAACTATTTTAAAGGCCATAGACACAGGCCAGTGAACCTGAACATCTTTGCCATGGTGATGCATACATTTTAGTGGCTGGTAGCCAATATCTAAACAAATAAAGTAGATACAGATTGTATTGAGTATTGGAAGGCACAAAGTAGAATATCATGATGAAGACAGAAAGTAAGCAGAGAGAGAATAAAATTAGTAGTATGACTTTCATAGATTGGTCAGGAAAATGTTGTCTGAAAAAAGTGCCTGTGCAGAGTTAGCCAGAATGTGCAGGCTAAGGCAAGAGTTTCCATGCAAAGGAGACAGCAAGCCTTGAGATGGGAAAGAATGTATTATGCCTGAAGAACTAATTTGTTGTATCTAAGGTCTGCTGGGAGCATCTGCTAATTGGTAGCACAAATCCAGTGGGGTGATCAGAAATTCAAGAGTGGTGAGGGGAGGCAGAGTATAGAGCTTTCTCTGTATTTAAGATTGTCTCCAAGTCTAGTTCTGTAACTTAAGATGGCTTTTACAAGGTTGAATGTTCTATATATGAATTTTACTTTTACTAATGGACATTTGGCACAAAATATTAAGTGTTATCTTTATAACGAAACACATTTCCTCAAACTTAACCCCTCCAGCAACCTCCTGAGTTTTCATTCTGTTCGTAGCTCAGCTGTTTGGAGTGCTCCCATTTCATCTCATTTTCCCTTCAGCTCAGTGTAGCGTAGCCCTGGCTTGAGGATTCTCTCAGAGTAATGTCACTGACCAGCATCTGAGTTCAATATCTGCATCAATTGTTAAAAAGTTCTTAACATTTTCTTCCTTGGAATCATGGAAGCTTTTTTTTTTTAAGATTTTTTTCCCTCTTTTTAAAAAATTTATTTATTTATTTATGCATATAAGAACAGGGATGTAGGCCAGAGGTGCAGGGTTGGGGAGTTAGAGCATTGACCAGAGACAGAGTGAGGAGCAGAACAGGCAGATTTCACTGAAATATACTGCTGAGGAGAGCAAGCGGTTGAGACTGGAGAAGCCCGCAGTGCCATATGTGGGTCAGCTGTAGTAGTGGTGACAGCACTGAGACAACCCCTCGCTACTAAGGAGGTCTTGGTCAGCCTTCTGACCCCTTGTTCTGCCCGCCCTTGCAATATTGGTGTTTCCCAGGATTCTACCCTTATTTCTTTTTGTATCTCTCATACTCTTTTGTGCCTGTAATATCAGTCTGTGCTTCTGATGACTCAACAGGTACACACTGAGAAGTGGTTAGCACTAGCACAGGCCTTGGAATCAAGACTGTCAGGATTCAGATCCTGCTTCCACCACTTGCCCAAGTTACTTAAGTGTTCTGCAGCTTTTTTTTTTTTTTTTTCATATATAAAATAGGGCTGACCCCTATCTCATGGAGCTAGAGGTTTCTCATGAAGTATGAACACAGATTAATAGTGCTGGGTATTGTTTCCAACTTAAATTCCTTGTCAGCCCCAGAGCTATGAAAGTTCTCTCCCAAGATGACCCTCTGGCATCTCCAGTCCAATATACTGAAAAATTAACCTATTATCTTTTCCTCAAAATCCATTTTTTTCTGCTTTTCCCATTTTGATTAGTGATCCCACAACCCACATATTTGTCAGAGTCAAGAACAGATGGGTCTTCTTTTTCTCTTCTTAGCTTCTGAAGGTAGTCATTCAGCTGATAACATTTCTGCTTCATTAATTTCTCTCATTGCAAATCCTTCCTTTTCACTTTCACTGACATGACCTTACTTTATGTCTTTCTTCTCTCAAAAGTTATTCTTACCCTTTCTTTTTAACTTTTCCATTGTGATGCAGTACCATTTATCAGAAGTCTTTTCTCTTTTGTCACCTGTTTAGTTCAGGTTCTTTTATTTCTCTCCAATTTTAATAATAGTCTAATTGGTCTTTCTACTTACTTCTTTCTTGTCTCCTGTTTCATTACCCCGTTCAACCCGAAGTAGTGATTGTCATGTTTACTGAACACAGTGAATTCAGAATGATTTTTCTGAATTCCATACTGTATCACTTCCCCACTCAAAGTGATATTTCTAAGTCTTAAGTTCTTTATGTAACCTAGGAGGCCTGTCGTTCTCCCTGGTTTACCTTTCTACAAACTCCCTCATATTGTATTATTTTCTCCTCAAGATTTTGCTCATATTGGTGTCTCTGCCTGAAATCTGTTGCATTGTGCCTCCCTTCCCCAACCTGTCCCATACCCTACCTTCACTATCTGTGTACTTTTCCCTTTCTCACTATTTGAGTCCCCTTTTCATAACTCGGTTGTAAGACTTGCCACATTTATCAACTTTTTTTTTTTAACCCCTGAACTCTATGAAATCCCGAGGAGAATGGTGTGGGTTTATTTTAGAGTCTCCTATACCTAGTACACCAGATTAGGAAAATATATTTGGCAAGAAAATTAATGAAGAAGAAATCCAAAAGAAATCGATGTGCATTGATTGGGTGGGGTGAAGGGATGTCTCTAGAACTCACTTAATTGAGCCACTTGAGATATAAGTAAAAAAATTCAGAAATTTGTATGAAGTACCACAGGTCCTTTAGAAGCAGACCTCCAGAGAGCTTTGGCTAGACCTTCCCAGCCCCCAGGGCATATATGCAAATAAAAGCTTACTCATGGCAGGGGCCCTCCCTGGTGGCACAGCCAGTTAAAGCACAGCACTAAAAAGCTAAAGCCACTTCAGCATGAGTTTGATCCCCACCCCACCCTGGAGGTGACCCACATGGTGTGGCAGACCTCTCCTGACCCACCCCTGCTCCCCTCAGCAGTGTACTTCATCAGTAGGCCTGTTCTGCTCCCTACTCTGTCTCTGGTGAATCCTCTCACCCCTGCACCTCTGGCCTGTACCCCAGCTCTGTATGCATAAATAAATAAATCTTAAAAAAAAAAGCTTACTCATAGTAAATATAATGATTGAAAAATGACCAAGGGAGATGTAAAGTATACAAATAACATTGTCTGTATTTGGCTAATTGTTTTGTGAGTAATAACAAGCATTTTGGCAGACTATAAACTTAGGCAGTGTTTTTAATCCATTTACCTGAATACTGATGAGATTGAGCATATTTTATTGCTATTGGTGACTTTATTCTTTTTGAAATGACATTTGATTTTCTTTTTGATTTGCAGATAGGTATGTCAATTATGGAAATATATCTCTCACTTCATGGTTTATCTTCTCTCTTTTCACTGTCTGATAAAAAGAAGTTATTTAGTATAGTCTAATAAAATTATGCCTTATGGATTGTGGTTCCTGTCTCTTGTTTGAGCACCCCTTCCATATCCTAGTACATAAATATTTTCCTATTTAACTTTACTTTGCTTTTATGTTTTAGTAGTTTATATGGAATTATTTGTTATGCACATCTTTCATAATATTGTTTGATCTTTATAAGGCATTTCCCTCCTCCCATACACCTTTCTTATTCTTATTCAAGAATATTTTGTCTATCCTTGGCCCCAGTTACAGTTAGAATTAACATAAAGTTTATGTGCCCATTGGGGATTTTTTTTTGGGGGTGGGAAGGAATTGCATTACTTATAGATCAGTTGGCAGGCTATGTTATATCTATTCACTTGTTTAGGTCTTCTTTGGATTTTTAATTTATTCCAAAGTGTTTAATTTCCTCCATCAATGTCTTGTATAGTTTTGTTGCAGGTATTTCTTGGTGGCTATTATTTTTATGCTATTATATTAATAAATAGCATGTTTTAAGTTAACTTTTAATAGATCTTACTAACATACTTGTGTTAGCCACAAATTTGACAGTATTTTTTCTTTCAGTATTTCTTTTATTTTTTTTTCTTGCTTTGCTTGCTAAGATATCCAGAAAGATAAAAAGTAAAAAGATGGAAAAAGAACATATCAGGCTAATTCTAAACAAAAGAAAGCACATAAGTTGTAATAAGAAGAATAAAGTAGATTTTAAAACAAAAAGGGTCAGTTCATAAAGATATAAGACTCATTCATAAAAAGGTGTGTAACAATTTTAACTTTGTACACACCTACTATAAACTCAAAACTTTAAAGCAAAAACTAACAGGATTACAAGAGGAAATCAACAAATTACCATCACAGTGGGATGGTATTTATCTTTCAGTAATACACCTTTCATTAATTGTCAGAAGAAACAAAAACTATTGATAATGCTACAGAAAATTTGAACAACAAATTTAGCAAACTAAAGGACAGAAAGAATATAGTTCTCAATGCAGTGCATTGTTTTCAGCATTATAAAATATATCAAATATATTTCAAATC